ATTCCGCATAAAATATGTATATGATCATCCCATTTGAGAGGGCTTGTGCTTAGTTAATAATCTCTGTAAATCCATTTCGACTTTCCAGGCTTTTATCAAATACACACAGCTTCATGATGTTTTGGGTCTCTCAGTTCATGTAATTATGTAAACTTAGAAGCCATTTTGTGAAATCCCTCCCCAATTATTAAGCCATTGAATTTTAGATTGATCAATGTAAATTCGTGTGCATGCATTCTTCATTCTTCTTCTTCTGATTGAAATAACATTTATATGTGACGAGGCAGCACATACTTGTCATAAACTTGTATCGATAATACAATTCAAGGCCGTAAGTGATTATGCCAACGATACGAGCACAGCCTTGTCCGGACGAAATCCAAATTCTCGTAATTAAGTAGTAGTGTATACAAATTTTCCTACCTGGTTGGAACACATTGAAACGTGTCACATGACTTTTCACCCCAGCACCTAGGTTGTTAATCATAGTTGTTCACGTGGCTATCATGATGCGTTGATGTCACCGAGGTAAGCCTCGTAAATGAGCCACGTAGCAGGTACGTATTCATTAAATTCACACACATGCGTCTTCATATTGTTATTGGACACGCTTTCGTTTTCAAAACTTTTTTACTTGAATAGAAATTAATTAAACCGTATCACTCATTCGAGGCAGAGGGGTTAGTGTTTTGATTTTTAACTGCAGGACCCCACAACCGGGATTGGTGGTTTCACTTTGCCCAAAACCAAGCAACACCAAACCGCCCTCCCAATCCATAAATCCATAATGGGTTCGAATATGAAATGGAAAAGATATAAGAAAAGCAATCAATATAAATTTGTGAGAAATAAGTGTTGTCATATCATATATGAGTGTCGTTTCAATACAGCTAGATACGATATTTGATATATGACGGATTATTTAAGAAATATTTTATATAGGATTTATCAGAAAAATAATTGGCACATCTTTTTGTTGTTATTTAACACGAGGCCGGATCTGTTCTCCACACATGGCGCCTTATAATGATCTCACAGGCATATTTCATCGTGCATTAGAAGCATCTTTTGTATTCCTCTGTTACTATTTACGGGAAATGTGGGATGTGCCTGTGAGGTCCTTATGAGGCGCCTTGTGTGAGGAGGAGACTCAATTCATTTAACACTAAGACATCATTAGGTGCCACATAAAGTGAGTAATAAATAAAGAAATAAATGCTGAATGCTAGAAAAGCATTAAAATAAAGCTTCTCTGGTTGGGAAAAAAAATAATTTTTATAGATCAACTTAAAATGTTTTCAAAACTTTTCAACCCCAAATGCAACGGCTGTATAAAACACCCCCTAGACAGTTGGTCATCTACTCTTTTTATCAAATAAGCAATCATGTCTTTGTCAGCCAAAAGAGAAAGCCTTCAAGGGCCTTAAAAGCTACTGCATCAATGTTCACAACCCAGGCGCTTGGAAGTTATGAGTCATGAAAGCAGCGAGAGTGACCCACACAGCTTTTGCTGTCCTTTTACTCCTTCAATACCTCATTAAATCATCAATCTCCTTTACTCCTTTTACTCCAACTTTTGCTGTCCTTCCAACTAATCAGAATTAATGGATTCACAGAATCACAGCTGTGCCTCCTACCTTCTATAAATCTCGAGTCTCGATCTGTTACCCACACAGCTTTCGACATGATCTATACCCACATATCTAAAACATCACTGTCACCTCAAATGCAAACAATATGAAACATATATATGTTTGAGATGTGTGACATTATCTGGTCTTGTAAATCCATCTTCATTGACCTGATGTTGGTGGCCCAATCAAATTTTTTTATTCAGACCAACCCTAATCTTTTGAAGGGTTCAACTATGATATCAAAATAACTTGTAACCAATAATCAACCGGTATCACAAAGGTGAAAACCAACCAGGTGATATTTATCAAAATTCACTTGGTGGGTATTGGTCATGTTAGAAAATACTTAAAACCTATTTAGGAACCACCTCAACTAACAGGTTAAGCTTTTAGGTTCAACCGTTGCATGAAGGGAATTTTCAGATCCTCCACCTAATAAATATTTATTTGTTTGCACATTGAGAATAGTACGATATGTGGAAGAATCTAAGAGGAATAAATATTTATTTGTTTGCACATTGAGAATAGTACAATATAAGAGGAATAATTGGCGGGGTTTTAAAAAACAAATAAAAATTTATGAAGTGAGATAAAGTGAAGATTTCTCTGGTATTCAAAACCTGTTTGATCAAGTGGTTTAACCACATTAATTGTTTTTTTTTTTTTGTACTTTATAAAAAATGTGGTGGATTTCTTTTAGAGAGGGCTCCATTCATTGAAGGGTTGTGTAGGATAATGCATTTTCAAGAAATTGATAGGTGGCTTATTCTCCATAACTTTGAGGTTGAAACCCTACTCATCAATGATTTCTTTTTCTTTTTTTTTTTTTTAAGTACACAAGTTGATTGTTGAAATTCCTCCTACAAGAGTTTATATGTCATAGTATATATGAGTGGGTATAGGATGCCAGTGTGTGAGTGCATGTTTCCCCTAATGCTGTAATAAATTTTTTGTTTTCATTAAGAATAGCAATACCATAAGCTGCATCATTCAAATTTCGATGTGAAACCATCTTGTAAATATGAAAATTAAAAGGTCATGCAATAACTCTGATGATGCGGTGTAACACTTGCTACAATTGAAGTAGTTGCTTCTGTTCAAAAACCACAGTGTTCCTTTCTTCCACATATAGCATAGCTAGAGTTGTTGTTAGCCATGCCAATAAATATTCCTTTGTTGCTTTATCTTCCTTCCTTCATCTTGTTCCACCATGTTTGTATGGCATTCATGATTGAGTTTTCATGTATTCAATCTAGGTTTATCCCCAATTAGGATTGTCAATTATATTGGTCCGCATTTGGTCCAATATGAGTCCATTACAGATGCATGGATGAGGTCCAATCCAATCCAATGAATACTTTGAACCGATCCAATCTACTCAAATTGGCTTTAACTCAAATCTAGTTATTGACACCTGTATTCCTATTTTCTATTAATGGACCACATATTAGTTCAATCCGACCTGATTCAATATATATAAATCCATTACGGATGAATTAGATCCAATCCAATCCAAAACTGGTTCATTAAAATAAAAAAGGTTTGTTTTTAAGACTAAACTGTGCATTGCACATGTCTCTTCTGGTTAAAGTTTTAAATTTTTTTAGTCTTCACCAAAAAAAGGAACTAAAGTCCTTTGATATAACAGACACTTTCCACCATATAAATTCACAAGGATTAATATTCCATTGATGTTGATACCTGATACTTGCCCTAGCTACATAAAGATCCTCCTCATCAGTGGAAATTAAACAAAAAAAGAATTTTCAATTGTCATACTCTCTAAGATAAAATATCATGGAAGCAAAACAGATATGAAAATAAAATTGGCATATTTTTATCGAATTATTTAAAATCAATGCGTTTACTAAATTGTTTGGATTGAATAATTAGGCTCTTTTTTTCTGTTCAAAGATGAATTTATTCATGCTGCAGTTCCAATGGCATATGAGCACGCCACCAATGTACATAAAAAGCAATTAATGTGATGCAATAAATATTTGAGTCTGCATCCATCCTAGAAAATCTCGACACAGCCCAATAAAACATGTACAAAAGACTACTAAGGAACAACCAAACCAAAAAGCAGATAACCATGCTGTTTTGTTGAGTGATTACAAGGGTGTTTGGTTCTGTTTACATTTATTATGGTGCCACATAGGCATCATCTCAGTATTTTCTTTCTCTTGTTCTTCTGCATACATCTAAAATATTAAAAGTGAACTTTGGTTTATGTGCATGTCAGTCATTTGTAGAAGTTATTTTTCCAAGCTTCCACAAAACGACCAGGCGTTTATTCATTGTTACACTGAAGTAGCGCTTAATAACACCTAATTATCGTAAACGATTGCAATTATTGCATTTTTCGATTTTACTAATAAATAAAATACAAACATTTATTCAATAAACATAAACGAAACCAAACACATACTACAACATTTTGCTGTTGTGACCATAACCACTACAGTTTAGAGTTCAAATATTTCTAATTTTAACTGAGTGATATGATGATATCTATTTTGGGCCAGGTTTAGCCCTTAAAGATGAAATACTGCAGTACTATCGTCACCAGCAGTTGATGAACCGGTAAACACATGACTAATCAGCTTTTTCTTCTGGGTCTCGGTTTTGTCCCATTTTTATGGGCTGAAAGATATAACCAAGGGTTCAACTGGTAAAATCTGTGACCCAATGAGCTTATATGACTGAAACATTGAAAATTTGCTTCACTAAAGAGTAATAGTATTCCTATTGTTTAGCTTTTGAGACCAACTACAAATAGTTGGTCCGATTGAACAAAAATGAGAAAGATAAAAGAAAGAGTAGACTTTCTCAATAAAACTGACAAAACTAGTTCTGTTTTACACATTTGCCACTTCTTTCTTTCTACTATATATACAACCCCATTGGCTGGAGTCAAATAATGAAATTTGAGGTATTACTTCCTTTCGAACAACAAAAAAGAAAAAAGTGAAACAAATAAATCAAGCATTAACCATTAAAAATGCTAATAAAATAAAAGATGTGATCGTCTAGAATTGTAATAACATTTTTGCGTGGTAAAACAGAACTATAACTATCACTGCATGCTTCAACACAACACAGTGTATTTGTTCCTTTAAAATGCTAAGGCTCGGTTTGGAAGGAGTACAAATATAAATATATAGAGTACAAAACTTTTATTTTATATTATTTTGTATATATTTATACTGTATATTTTAGTATTTGTACTTCTTTCAAATAAAATATAAATACAAATATATACAATATAAATACATATAAAATATAAGATTTTACACTCTACATATTTATATTTGTACTCCTATGTCGCAAATTTGTATTTCGGTTGAGATTTGCATTCGTTTGATTAGATTTTAAAAATGCATCGATTTTCGATGCAAAAATGTTATTACAGATAGAGGAGAAACTGCGAGCTGAAACTGAGTAGATAGAGGAGAAACTGCGAGCGATTCTAAACTGCCTGAGGTAATCCGATCTACCTTCATTTTCCGATTACCTTCAATCTACTTTGTTGTTTGTTTGGTTTTCCTTTGAGAGAATCCTAACCTCTTCGTTTTTATGTCGTGTTCGATCCATTTTTCCATTTGTTGGATTTTTTGTTTTAAGAGAGAGTCTTAACCTCTTCGTTTCTAGGTAATGTTCCATCTATCTTGCTATCTACTTCCATATTTTGGATGCTAGAGTCATTGCTTGTCTGTTGATTTATTTTTGATTGATTGAGTGAATTGGAACTTTTTTATTTCACCGCATGCTAGAGTTATTGCTTCATTTTTCTTCGCTTCTCTCATCCTAACCTTCAACTGTTACTGTTGTCACAGCACTTCAACCCCCAATGAAACATTGGCATGCCAGCAGTGGAAATTAAAAGGAAGTTCACGTGATGCTTTGAATTTATTTCCATTACTGACTTATCTGTATTTTATTGGGGGAATCATCACAAGGGAGGTTGCAGAGCTTAAGGCTCAAAAAACCCCTTTCTATTTAGTTATGGAGTTCGGAAATATCTCTCCTTCTTCTGCGAGTTTGGCTGATTGAATTCCATCTCTCATGGAGGATTTTTTTCCCTTTATTTTTGGCATTTCAGACTCCTAGTCCTCGGTTACCTTCTTGCTGTTTTGCTTTATCTTGTCGACTGCTGCTTCTTGAATTGAATGCTGAGTGTTAATGAAAGATTTTCACATTTTTAAGCTTAAGAAAAGGATGTGCTCTTGATTTATGAGAAGTAACTCATCATATTAAGTTACTCATTAACATAAATAAATTTCCTTTTTTTAAAGCCCATATATCATTAATCAAATTCATCAAATTGAGTATAAAGAATCTTCCTCCAAGGTAGAAATTAGAAAATTAGGAGGATTAAACCAAGTAATTGTTTAAAAGAATATGCCGATAAATAACCCATTGAATTAGAAAAGATGGTGCATATATGGGAAATCTTTTATTTAAATACAAAATCATTTATTAGTGCACTGGGTAGAGATTTGTTTTTTATTTGGGAAGATGAGAAATATAAACCACATCAATCTAGACTCAAAGTGGCCATGGGCTGCCTGAAGGTCCTTGGAATGTTCTTGTATAAACTTATTAGATCTGCATAGATTTTGTTAGAGGATCTTTAGAATGTTTAAAAGCATCTATATTGCCTATGGGGAAAATATCTTGCCAATACTGATAAACAAACTGCATGGAGTCAAATCAGAAAGGATTATATTTTTCAACCTGATAGACAAAAATCATTTGGCTAGTCTTTTCTTAAAAATCATGGAGTCAAACAAGCTGCATGGTTGAGCTATGCAGCCACCTTTTCTTAAAAAAAAAAGACACATCAACCCTGTTATTTGTCCCACCATTAGCTAGTCTAGACCCCATACCCCTCCAACACCATATAGTTCATGCATAATAGATGCTAAAAAAGTTCACCACAATCTAGTATACTTGTTTTAATCATGTATAATCAATATTGTCGTCCAAGGGCTCCAATCATGGGAGAATCTTGGATCTCAGGACAGGGGACCTGTACATGGGTCCAAGGCCCTCATAATTCATACACCATTTGTTGGTAATGTGTGAGTTTCTTTCAGAAAACCAAAGCCCAATAAATGTGTGAGTTTCTCCAGAGGCCCAACACATTGAATCCTTTACAACAAGCCCAAGAAGTTAATTGCTGTCAAGACCCCATGTGATATTCAAAAGGTTCACTTTCAACCAAAGCCTATCAAGATTCTTATAGCCAAATCTTTTCAAGATTTGACTGGACCCTCAAGATTTTCTGAATATTTGAAGGATTTCGCAGATTCATTCTCTAGCAAGCATTTCTTTAGTCTCGTTGCTTAGGAAAATAAATATATTGTAGATCTCAAAAAAGAATTCTCAATATTCCATATAAAACCATGTAAACATTCTTTTGAACAATTAATGAATGAATGAAACTGAAATGTTCCTACAAATCTATGGTTTGGTGCTGACACTCCCGCATTCTGTCCTCCCCTATTGTTTGTCAAATTTAGGAGAAGTGTTAAACTAAGAAGCTGTGGGCTTTGTAGCCTGATTCCAGCTTCCATGGACCCATTTCATCCATTTATTCCCCCATTCCCCTTTCTTGTTGTGAAAATCAAATATTAGTAGAATTGCAATCTTACTCAATGAACCTTACATCAAACTAAGAAGCTATAAGACATAAGTGCATTGAAAATAACTAAGCTAGATTTCTTGATCTTTTATTTTACATGTCTGAAATTCTTGGGTTGATCATTTCTTTCTTTTTTCAGGCTGATGTGGATGGAAATGGAACAATCGATTATATTGAATTTATTACTGCAACCATGCATAGGCACAAGCTAGAAAGAGACGAACATCTATATAAAGCCTTCCAGCATTTTGATAAAGATCAGAGCAGATACATTTGTGACAGGATGCCCGGACTGTTAATTCTATGCCGTTTGGAAGCTCCATAGTTCCTATTCAAAAAGAATAGTCGTCATTGGCTTGAAGAGGAGAGAGAAACTGATTTGCTTGGTAGAAGAGACCTTTGTATTTGCATTGATGGTGGGAATAGCTGGTTGTTTTTATGTTGTTATTTTTTACCAAGATGCCCGGGCAGCTTGTTATTTTTATATTTGTTTAATGGTGGGAGTAGCTGGAACACCATTTGGTAACAAGAAATAGTTGTATTTGCATTGATGGAAATGCCAAACATCCACAAAAATTGTATTCTTATTTGTGTACAAATGCAAACATCCACAAAGTGGGTGTGTAAATCTTGAACCACTTTGCACTCACATGAACCAAAACATTTTTATTTTGCACTCTACAAATTTGCATTCGTACTCTGACCAAATTCAGTTTGAAAAGGGTACAAATGCAAATATATACCGTATAAATACATACAAAATACAAGGTTTTACATTCCACATATTTATATTTGTACTCCTTCCAATTTTTAAGGGACAATTTACTATTTATAAACATAACAGAAACTATCCATGCCTCCCTTATCAATTTTTAAGGGAGAAAATGACCCTCACTGACTGTTAGGTATCGGATTGAAGGTATTGAGTCTCATCTATTAAACTTGAAGCTTCTGATGTTAGGGGAGTAGCCCAATTTTAATTATGTTTATGAGCTTGATGGTCGAAGGTTGAGTATACATAGGGTTCGGTGGGTGGTAGTATGATAGACGTGATCATGGACCGTTCTGGGCCTGGACTGGGTTTATGTTCCTATAACTTTAAAGCAAAACTGGGTTTATGGCCCAAATTTAATTTTCCAGCCATGATTCTATCTATATATACATCCCAGTCTCACCATTTTCTTTCGAGGCTGCATCAATTGACAACTGCTCCTTGGGGAGGGAGGGGGGGAGTCCATTTCACCAAGATTTGATCAATACTACTTGGCCTATATATTAAGACTTAATTGATACACTTCATTTTTTTTTTTCTTTTTAGGGATCCACTTCAATCATTTTCACTAGAATTTTCCATGCTTTATTAAAAACATGGGCTGGGCTGTAGCCCATTTCAATTTTCAAAAGATTTTCTCATTTCTACTTCTCCATAATATCCAAAGGATATGGGTCAAGCGGATTCTCTCTTGTTTCATTCTACTCCACCAAGAAAAAATTCGTGCCGGAATTATTTGGGCCTGGATAGTGGCTGCTGAAGGTGGTCCATATATACCTTGCAATTGGGCAGTTCACGAAAATATGATCTTGATCTGCCTCCTCCCCAGTCCCCACAAGATTGAATTGACCAGTAATATTCAGATTAGTGCTTTCATTGAGCTATTTGGCTTTTAAGTTTTAACAATATCCTTCCTAAGACACTACAGCCTATGGTGTGTAGATCTCCTATTCACAAACCCTACCCACAATATACTACAGCTGCAGCTGCATAGTGGACATCTTCCAATAGTCAAGATGGTCTCATCACACCCTCTGAGATAAGGGATCAAATTTACAGAACTGCAGTCTCTCCGTGTTATGGCTAGTGCCGCCCCTTGTGCATTCTGCTCTATCCCCAACCCCAGTTCATCTGTACCAAAAATGAATAAATAAAAAGTGAGACAAAGTATAAAGAATTTCTCAAAAAATGATCAGATGATGACCCAAACCTTTAATGTCGATATTATGTGTTTCTTTTTACGTGTATGACATCATGTCATCTCTTACCTGCCTCAAGGTTAAATTCCTTGCTCTGACTCAGAGGCTAATAGTTGTATTGATTGACTTTCTCCTGAGCTGTATGAAGATATATATAAAACAATATCTTATCTTCAATTCTATATCACTCTTTCTTTTTTTTTTTTTTGCTTAATAAAATTCACAGCTTTCCTATTAAAAAATATATGTCGTTGATCAACTTGAAAAAGGCTTTTGCTCAACAAACAAACAAACAAACAATAAATAAATAACCTTCAATAAAGAGTTTGATTTCTATCCTTCTTGTTAACCCATAATTTAATGGCGAAACTGGATTCATGTAGCCCATTCTATGCATCTAGTCGGGAATCGGGACAAGGCTTAGATGAAGAGACGGGCAGCATAATTAGCCTGTTATTCACAAATAAATTAATAAATAAAAACATAAACAAAAAAACAAAAAAATATAAAAAAAAAATTGAAAGCATAGCAACCTTCCAAAATATCATTTAATAAGACTATTTATTAAGATCCCAATCTAAGAGAACTGGGTGCATGCGCGTTAGGCTCACTTTGAAAAGAGTACAAATATAAATATGTAGAGTGCAAAAGTATGAGTTAAGGAAAGAATAAAAAATTAGTATTTGTCCTTAGCTCAAAATTTCGTATCACATGTGGAATAGTTTATTCCTATTCCATGCTTATTTTATTTGCAATGGCCAATGGTACTATTCTGTCTTGTTGTTTCTTTTCTGTTTTTCTCTTTGTCCTTTTCTGATCCTCTATCCTGTGATTCCTACAATACTGCAAGCCATATCCTCCTCCCGGAGAGAGCATCAAAGAACAATGTGATGATCGTTCCCATTCGCTTTAAAGTTTAAACATCTTGAATCAACTAAAAAGTTTAGTATTGGATAAACTAGATAAATCCACATCTTTTTCAAGCGTTGAGATTCTGATAATGGCAATCCATAACAGTTATTTAATTAATATGTTATTCCTAAGCATGATGAATGATATGTATATTTAAAGAGGTTCTGAAATTTCCATTCATTATTTTATTAAGTTGAGAACAATAACCCATTCTTACAAAAACAATTTTAAAAGTGCATAATCCCATGCTGACACCCAAAATCGAGAGCGGATTAGCTGAATTTGATGATCTTGTTACGGGTTTTGGGACCAATAATAATGTTCCACGCAAGTCATACAGTGCATACGGCTCATAACCACTCAATCTCTCACTTTGTATCTATTAATAAATGTATATGTGTTTTGTACGTGGTAATTTCAAATGATAACAGTGTATATATATTGGTGATTTATTGCATTTCAACCTAAAAATTGGAATTGTTACTTAACCTGAATTTTAGATTAATTGAACTATTACTTGACCTAGATTTTAGGTTCATTATCCACCAAATTGATTGTCGGTAAAAAACCATTAACTTGACCAACAACATGGTGACCTAACTAATCAAACCATTGAATCATTTGATTTGTTTAGTAGGGTGATGGAATAGACATTAATTTTCTCTTTTCATTATTTTTGTATACCACTTCCATCATTTACCAAAGATGAAAATGGTTTCATTGCTAAGGCATTTTTACATTTTGTATTTCCTTTCTATCATTAATAAAATTTTTTTCTTATTTATCATACTTAAAAACTGGTTTTGTTTCCAAGTTGATATTCAATATACAAGTTTTTTGTACTATTAAAATTGTTATTCGTGAATTTAATTAGTGAAATTTAATGATGTGAAACAAAGATATATTAAACATATGATTTAATGAGAGAGAATGGAAGTCAACCTTAAATATGAGACTTAATGAGAGAGAATGGAATTAAATAAAAATAGTATTCAATTTACAATTTATATCTTGATAAGAGAGAGAGAGAGTATGAATGGAAACGGGGCGGGGATCATATTTCCCGTGCCCGACCCCAATTCGGAAATTAATCTCTATCCCCATCCCTGATTCCCACCAAGGATAAAAGTTATTCTCCATCCCCAGTCCCTAACGGGGACCCATTCCTCAAGGGGACCCAAATCCCTGGAATTTTTTTAGATAATAGTATTTTTTGAAAAATAAATTTACTTAAAATAAATAAAAAAATTAAATATGCATAATGTTTTAAATATGTTTATATATAAATAATATCATATATATATAATAATATATATTTAAATATAAATAATACAATGTTTTTAAAACTGACCCAGAGGCCAAACCATTTTTGCCTCTGGGTTGCAGGTCACCAATTCAATCGGCTGGGTCGAACGGTTCAGACTGTGCCACATCAGTGCATGTATGTATTAAGTATGTATATATTCATATACATATATGTTGTGTATATATATGTATAAATATATATTTTAGCAATAAATAATGTATTAATATGTTTTAGATATGTTATATGTATTATTTTATATTTAATTTATGTTTTTAATTCAGTTTTAAACTTTTTTTATTTATAAAAATATTAAAAATTGCAATTTGAGGCCAAAAGGGGGGGTTTCACGATAATAGCAGGGTACAATGCCTTGGGACGCATAGATCTCAAAAAGTTACCCAAAATTTAAAAATAGCACCCCAATCGGACATTGAAGTGCAAAGTTATGACCTCCAAAAGTTTACATGCATGAGTATGCAAGATGCTATCTGGTCACCGGGTCAAATGGTCGAACCAGCTAGGTCGAAGGATTTTTTACCAAGTCAGCGGTTTTTGACCATCTAACGGGTCTTGGATGAACTAGACCCAGAGTCATGGTTGGGTGACAGTTCAAATGGTTCAACCACTTGGGTCAACAACGGGTTGAAAAAAAAAAAAATATATATATA